GGAACATATTTGTTACTGCAATAACAATCCATCAGGCTACTATAAACCGTTATAAAATGTATCGAAATGTATGTTAAACAAAGTTAACATAGTTTGATTAAGGCGATTAAGATGTTAAAGAATATCTATGAATACCAAGATCTAGTGACCCCTTTTATGGTAGAAGTCTCCTTTCGCCGTATAGAAGTGGTTCGACCTTGTTTTCGCAACTTCTTTGTGATGTCAGGGTGACCTAATTAGACTCGCCATGTCCTAAGTCTTCCGTTGTAGTTGCTATGATGATTTTCAGCGTTGGAGCGTGGACATGATGCATTGTCAGACATTTCGTTGTCATCATAGTCGGCATCGTCAGTGAGTCTTGTCATTATCAGCATTAAGCTACAACTCGTCAAAGAGGTAAATGAAATCAATTCCTTGTCATCTCTTCTCATTCTGTCATGTCACCTCTACCCGGTCATTATCCTCATATCTCTCTCCCTATCATGATTTATCCGACATCTTTAGAGGTGTCATTTTTGGAGAGTTTAGTGGGACGTTATTATATCTACTTTTTTCCTTAACCCCTTCTTCATAATTTTTAGAAATTGTTTATCCGCCCTGGACGCCTCACTAAATTCATCAAAAATGAAACCTCTGTAGGTTATTTAAATATAAACAAGTTCGAAGTTGTAATAGCAAGGGAGTGAGATACGAGGATAAGAGATGGATTATGTGCCACGACATAAATTGGAATGATAACAAAAACAGTTTGACAGAAGGTTAGTTAAGCGATTGACTTTACTTGCTGCCTTGGTGAATGGTAGTTTGGGGCTAGGACTGGTAAGTCCCGTTGATGACGCCGGCGAAACGTCTGGGAATGTTTCAAGTTCTCCGTTTAACACTGGAATTATGGTAACTACTATAGCAAAGGACTTCGGACAAGGTGTATCTAATTAGGTCGCCTTGACAACAAGATCAGGTTTCGAAAACAAGGTCAAACAACTTCTATGATTGTTGGGCTTCACATATTACAAATGAGAAAGGACTGAAATAATAGGAGCTGTGGTAAGGTGCAAACTTTGGTAAATCCTGGATAAGAATGTTTTGAGAGTTAGTGAACATTAATAGAATCGTAACATAGTGGGAAATCTCAATTACCATTGACTTATCACTTTGTTCGACTTAGGATGATTGGAGCACTTAATTTGCCCAACAGTCCTAGACCATTATTACTTTCCTCTTCATCTCTTCTCCTCCAAAGGCGCCCACCTCTTGGCTTCCGTGTGATCACCAGACCATCGAATATTTCACCGGCTGACTGGCTTCGCCTCGCAGGGCGAGCCCAACTGGGCGTCGGCTGTTATGAAGAGGCAAACCAAGCCGTACGTCTGAAGGCCTCGCTGGTCACTGCTGCCCGATGCCAGATCGCAGAGCAGGTTGTGCGAACTGGTAGAATGCAGCAAATCTCCTCAGTGATACAGGCTGGGAACAATCTTGACGCTCTCCTTCGTTGCCAGCTGGTTCGATAACCATTCCATGGCTTGTCTGGTGGGTAGCAGAGATGAAATGTCAACGAATTCATACAATAACCAGTCAACTGGTTACCCATCCTCTTTTTACAGTCTTCTTTCCACATTTTTCCATGTCCCTTTCTCATACCCACTCATTTTGTGTGAGCAAAATTGTAGTAAACGAACATGCACTATGAGAATGGATCAGATCAGATTCAACACCGAAGCCTTTCACTTTGGCCGAATAATCATCGACCAAGCAGAATCACAAAAATTGATGGATTTTCCGATTTTGTTAAGGCAAGCTCTGGTCATTTCGGACATCTAGAAAGTCGGAACTCCCACCAAAGAGGACATGAAAGCTCTTTGTCCCCGAAGATGGAAAATTGGATATGGAGACAAAGATGGTGTATCCTTAGGTTTGGTCAAAGTCTCGTTTGCGTAACTCGATCGGAGCGAAAGGGAAACCTTATAGAACATGCATTGACCTGCGTCCTCTGTCACGATATTCATGATAATTTCCAACATCGGACCGTTGACTTGGTACATTCGCAGAAGCCTCAACAGTCTCGTAATTTATATCGTCAACCTTAGAGCAGAGTTACCCTTTTTCAAAGTGATAAAGTGTTTGCTTCAATTAAACACACGACCCATCATCTAATAGCCCATTTATTTAATTACGTCTATTTGTCGTCATTTTCTCTAATGTCGCTTTAGAGTGCGCCATTTAAAAGGCAATTAATGATGCAGTTTCCGATGTCGTTGACATACTTCCTCGAACCAAATCGACATTTTGTCTTGATCATCTACTCTTTCCAAATTATCTAATGTTTCCTGAAGCACATGAAAATCACTGTCTTATCCTGTAGGCTATTTATAAACTCTGGCTTCCTGACCCTGATTAAGTGAATTTCATGGATTTCGTTACATGGCTGGCCTCAAAATAGAGAGAATTTGTGCGGATGACTAAGCAAGGATGCTTCTCAAAACTGGGATTATGACGCTTCAGTTATCCTCTTTTACACCTCCACGCCATTCTCCCTTATTCTCTGGGGCCCTATATTTGCCGTCATCTTGAACTGCCAGATTGGAGAAGAACTGTTTCAATGCTATACTTCTGAATCAAGTGAAGCATTATCCTCTTGTCCCTTTGGTTATTAATCCCACCTAATCCCAAGGTTCTGTTTAATTCTGCGTCTGTAGATTAGGTAAAACCTACCCTTGTCATGCATGCAGTGCAGACACACACAGACACATGCCTAGCTCATGCACAGGGAACCAGCTGGTATTGTGCCCCCACCCCGAGTGCTACATCACAGTGAATTTGAAATAGATCTAGATCCTGAACTTATTACTCCAACGATGTACTATTTGGACATTTATGGTACTTTATTTTTATATCCCAGGCTGGACCCACCCAGGCAACTTTTATTGAAGATGGTCCTTGGTCTAGCTTCTTTCATTGTAGTCATCTGCTTTTTATTTAGATTTATCTCCCAATATTATCTTTCGGGGGAATTCTGTTCTTGATGTTCACTAGATCGCTTTGGTAAAAACTTGTCCTTTTAGCTCTCCATACAAAATCCCAAATTTCTCTAAGTTTGTTTAACTATTAAACAAAACTCTCGCTAATAGGAGACGCTTGGGGATTTATAAATAAAGGTTCATAATCTATGTAATAGTACATCATTGGAGGTGCAAAGTTAAGTATATAACTATTTTTAAATCCCATTTGGCGTAATAAACGAGGCTAGAGCATAATACCAGTTGGTTTCAAGTATATAGATTAGGTCTGTTCCTATGTATAATTAAAAATGATTCATTAAATACTCGACATGGGTTGTAATAGCTTAATCTTTACATAAATAATTGAATAAACCCTCATGATTAGGTCGAAATGATAACATAAGAGACAAAAAGGGTATGCATTATTTGATTCTTAAGTGGATAATTGAAGCGGTACATTTTCACACTAGCGGTTTGAAATGAAGCTAGACACAGAGCCTGAGAAAATGGGAGCTAAGAGGGGTCAACATGGTAAAGGAAAACTGGGACATAAGGGTTTTGAAACCTAGACGTGATAAACGCTGTTTTGAGAGCGAACCTCGCTAAGTCGATCGCACCTGTTCTATCGTATCGTTGAGGCAAATCATAGAATTAACTCCTCGAATATTCTGTATACAGGGGCCGGAATCGAAGGCCTGTAGACAGTCAATCATGTAAGGCAGGGATGCTCAAGCTCAGCTGGAAATAATTGGGAATTTAGGAGTAGATGGCGTAGTGGATGTGCAGATTTGGATCCAGAATCCCTACGAACGATATCTGAAAGCAGTGGTGAAGGTGATAACATTAACAAGATTCCACTTGAAAAGCCACATGCTTAGGAGACAATAGAAATAAACTAAGATACAGAAAGTCGTTAATTGGTTAATTTGCAATATGAGACGTAGTTAAGGGATGAGGATACAGCTTTAGAAGCTGACAGAAGCCGAACAGACAATTGGTCAATGGTATTGCATCAATTTGTCACTTTGATGAGTTGTAATTCTATGCTAAGAATTGCACCTATCACTAACGCTGCCGAATATGATGCCAGAGAACTGTCCTTGAGTTTATCCAACCAACGATCCGATGCTGGAAATTATGAATTGTATAGCAGACTTGGTGCAAATAGGTATGTTCCACAAGGTCTTTTTGCCACTCCAATCAAGTTATGAAAATGAGATAAAACCAACCAAAGGTTGGAAGTCAAAGAAGGATGTTACAACAAAATTTGTTGCACTGCATTACACCAACAACAACTTTATAATGAAATAACCAATCCAGGCACCTTTCATCATCCTCTGTTTGATGTGGATATGCCTTTTCGTATTTTTTACATAATTACAATGCTCATCTGAAGAAATTCATTGTTTTACCGCAACTCCCTCACAAATCGAGAACGGTAGCCTTGCTAAATTTGTCAGCCACCTCTTTATAATAGGAGAAAGAAAACAAACTTGATACAGACATAAACAGCACTTAGTTACTCTCTGTGTCTTTTGTCAACATTTGTAAACTGACTAATTATAATATTTAAATATTAAATTAACTACTTCCTACAGACATCGGCTGGTAATACTGACTAGACAAAGATTTAAATCTTTGAATTTGTAATTATATTTGGCCTTATCTTCTTGCTGTAGTATGTGGCGTTTGACTCAAGGCTCACATCTTGTGTTGGGGCGAGAAAAGTTGGCACTTCCTTCATCCGGGACCATATTCCGGGCTACTATCCACACTTAGTACTCCGCAGTAAAATCGGTTACTAGGCCGTCGAGAGACTAGGCGTTAACCGATTTAAACCGGGCAGTAAGTCGTTGATAAATGAGTAAATTCAATATACTCTGAAATGTGGCTAGACGATTGCAGGTAACAGTAGGGGCCAAATGAGAAGATGTTGATGAGGTCTTATGATGTCCACTCATTAGTTTGGGTACATTGGAAGCATTCTTCTTTGCCTGCAGGAATCAAGAGTTGTCAGGGTCTTTAAATGATTTCCCATAAAGTTCCTGCTTTGAAAATATGTATTAACTTGTTGTAGGCCATCAATAAGCTATAGCCGTAGCCTCATTAGTTAAATTTTAATCAGTTTCCTAAAGGATGTTTGAATCAAGTGTTGGCAATATTCAAGAGCCCATCAAAAGATATGATGACAAGAAATGCTTCTGAAAAAGAAAAGATCAGCCAAACACAATCAGAGGCCGTTTTTAAAAAATAGTAGGCTTATATGAGAAGGGATTTGTCTAAGGTTTGTGCCAAATTTTTATCACAGGTTATTTACCCTGGCGTTAAAAATAATGTATGCTAGAAATCTAAGAAAACCCGAAATACTAACTACAAAAAAAAACGAATAAATCTGACCTAGCACAATAAATAGAGATGTATAGGAGATACGAAGAGAAACTTGGTTTCGATGAATCTCATGAGATTACATTTTTAGGGGGACCTTAATTTCGAATGAAAGTGCAAGAGGAAGAGATTTGTTGGTCGATCTCACCAAATGAGGACGAATAAAACTCGTTGTACTGCAGCCGTTTGGCTTTTATACGGCTGCAGTACAACGAGTTTCATCCGTCCTCATTTGGTGAGATCGACCAACAAATCTCTTCCTCATGCACTTTCATTCGAAATTAAGCTCCCCATAAAGATGTATAGTAGTCCATTTTGTTAGAAAAAGTTGTTAGAAGGAAATATTAATTTGGCCGCACCTGAAACCGAAGGAGGATTGCCCTATGGTTTAATTTTTTTTGATTGCTCATAATTAGTGGTTTCTGGTTCTGGCGATGTGCGTCATGACTGGTGAGCTTCAGCTTAGCACGAAGTCATCGGGGTCACAGGACGGTAGGCCGAGGTCTTCTTTATACAATCCAATAGTAAGAAGTCCGAGGCAACCCTCCTTCACTATTTTGTGAGGTCAATTCAAGAATCTCTTCCACCTTTTCAAACGAAACCAAAAGTATGCCAGCATCATTCTACTAAGGGATTTTTCGAAACCCAGCTTCTCTACATAACTTCTCCAAGCAATGAGGCAAGAATTTCTGCCTACTTCTTACAACCTAATTGTGTCGATGACTTGATTTTTTTATTGCTGCCTCCTCTATTATGCTTGCAGATGAGTGAATAAACTTTGATTGTGACTGAAAAGTTACTTTTTCACGAAATCCCTAGCATTTTTGGTCCAGCAGTTTAGGCATGTGTTCATGTGTCCGTTTGCCTGTCTATACTGTTCACCAGTCATGAGTTTGCTGGTCTTCTCCTCCTCCTGAATGATAGCATATTAAAACAAAATATTCTTTAAAACTGATCAGAAAAGTGTCAAAACATTTCCAAAAGGAAACATTACCTAGT